GTGGAGCAGCGGCCCCGGGCAGGGTGGTGGGGGAGGACCCAGCGTCTGGGTGCTGCTCCCCTGCAGCGGGATGGCCCCGGGTCCCTGTTGTGATGGGGACAAGGATGTCCCCGAGCCGCTCTGCTCTTCCTCCCGCCCTCCCCAGCTTCGTCTCCATCTGCAGCTCGTCCAGGGCCACCGTCCATCCCTGCCCTGGGGTTTGCTCCCTCCGTCTTGCCTCCTCCTATCCATCTCCCCCGTCCCTTTGCAGGGGGTGGGTGCCCTGAGCACCCCCCCAAGGCACCCACAGCATCCCGCTCTCCCCCTCCCCAGGGGACCAGCGCCTCCCCACCGCCTTCGCCCACCTGGAACTTCTCTGCCTCTCCACGCTGCTCCTGCCACTGCCGGGCCAGGCTCTCCTCCAGCATCTCCTTCCGTGCTTTGAGCCCCGCCAGGTCCTTCTCCAGGTGCTGCAGCTGCAGCTGGCTCTGCTGGTTGTCCTCCACCGCCTTCCAGAGGTTCTCCTTGGCCTGGCAGAGGGAAGCCTCCAGCTGCGACACCTCCGTCTTGTAGGTCTCCACTGCTCCTTTCCAGATCTCCGAGAGCCTCTTGGAGTAGTCCTCCACCTCCACCGGCTGGAAAGCCACCGGTGCGCAGCGGAAGCTCTCCAGGCTCTGCGAGAAGCTCGCGATCTCCTGGTCCAGCCCCGCTTTCTCCTCCTCGTGCACCTCCAGCAAGGCTTCCACCTCCTTCTCCAGCTGCACGGCTCTCTCCTTCAGCCAGATCTGCGCTCTCCTCTCCTCCTCCAGCTCCTTCCTGCTCAAGGACAGCTGCTTCTTGGCTTCTTCTCGGGCTGCCTGCTCCTTCTGGCACCTGCTTTTCACCTGCTGGACCTCCTCGTAGAGGTTGTCCCTGGCCAGCTCGGCCGTGCACTTCTCCCTGAAGGCATGATCCAGTGCATCCCGCAGGGCTCGCAGCTCCTCCTCGTATTCCCCCCCCGCCACGAGTCCCCGATGGGGCTGCCCTTGGCGCTCTGGATTTCGGCTCGCAGCACCTCGTTTTCCTCCTCCAGGAACTTCACGCGGGCCAGGTACGCCTCCAGCCGCTTGTTGAGGTCCCACATCTGCAGCGATTCCTCACCCAGGGCTCTCGCCCCCACGAAACTTTCTGTGCTCAGCATCGGCGCTGCCAGAGGATGCCGGGGCTCTGGCGCCGGCGCTGCTGGAGGATGCCGGGGAGGATGCCGGGGCTCTGGAGGAGAGGGAAGGCAGGGAGGGAAGCAAGTGGCTGGGAGCAGAGGGGAGCGCAGCTATTCATACTCCACGCTGGGCGAGTGGGAGGCCCCTGAGACCCGGGCAAGCAGTAGGGCTTAACTCTTCCGCAGCCGGGCTGGCTCCAGCCCACGTGGGCTCGATGCCGGCTGCAGGAGGGCTGAGCCCCGCTCCAGCAAACACCGCTGCGATTTCCCAGCCCTGGGGAAGGGCAAGGTGTTTCTTTGCACTTTGGGAGGGTGGTTTGCTGCGATTTCCCAGCCCTGGGTGGGGAAGGGCAAGGTGTTTGCACTTTGGGAGGGTGGCTTGAGGGGTTGGATCCCCCCCAGCAGCGTGGCTCAGCTGGGAAAATCCCCCCCCCTCAAGCCTGAGCGCCATGCCGGGGTGCTGGAGGGCTGCAGTGGGGCTTGGCGTGGAGGCTGGGAGATGTCCAAGGGCAGTTTGGCAGATGCCTGTCCTCGAGGGCTTGGCTGTGGGCATCCCTCCGCGGCGGCTCACTGGCCCCGTGCCGCTCCGAAACCTGGGGTTAAGGGAGCCCGGACGGGGCCCGTCGAGGGTCTCACAGTCCCGGGGAGGTGATGGCTGCACTAGGGACATCGGTGCCTCTTGGTGGCCGGGGCAGTTTTGGGCTCAGCACAAGCCACGGCTGAGCTGGTGCCCTGGGTCCGGCCATACTGGTATCCCTTTGCACAGGGAGAACCGTCTCAGGGGGACGACACAGGGCATCATCCCGGCCAATCCCCCCTCGGGGTGCTGCATCCAGCTGTGTCCAGCTGCAATCTTCTTTCTTTCCAGATGTGCACGGCAGGAGGCGCCGAGCAGAGCCGGGAGCTCAACGGGGACTTGCGGCTGCGGCTGGCTGCCGGTTTCGCCGGCAGCCTTCGAAACTTGGCAAGTGCCGGCTCAACATTTGGTTCTCAAAATTTGGTTTCGTTCACAGCTTCCCCCCGCACGGCCGAGCCGTCACGGTAGGGTTATGAATCACTTCGCGGGGAGTGTTTGGGGATTAGTATTTTTTATTTTCTCTTTTTTTTTTTCCCCCCCCCAGCTGATTTATCTGGGGGGAGGGCAGCAGGCTGGCAAGGGGAGGAGGTTTAAAAATTCAAACTCGGGAGGTTCCTGCGAACAAAAGAGGCAGGAAAACATCATCTGGGGAGAGACTTGTTGCCAGCTTTTTCTCCCGGTCCTCCCTCTCCCGGAGAGACGATGGTTTTCCCACGGGAGGGTCCCTGCTCTGTCCTGAGCAGGGCAAGGAGGAAAAGAGTAAATGTCCCCTCCCGAGCTGTCCCACGGGGCAGGCTCCAGGCGAGCTCCTCCGGAGAGACAAGCAACAGTCCCCTCTGCTGGCAAAGGCCACCCAGAGCCACCCAGAGCTGTCCCAGAGCTCTTTCCAGCCTTGCATCATCCGGGAGCTGGTGGGGCCCCCACGTCCCCCACATCTGGGAGCAGCGATAATAGGGGTCCCGGCCCCCCTTGGTACGGCGGGGAGCGGGTTTTCCCCCGGGTGCTGCCGCATCCCGTCTCGGTGCCTGGCTGGTGGTGGGGGGATGCCCTGGCTCGGGGGTCCCTGAAGGCATCGGCTTCCCGGCTCATCTCCGGCCAGACATCCTGTCTGGCTCCCCGGCCCCGGCTCTGGTTTGGCTCTGGTTTGCCTCTCACAGCCAGGATTGAAATACCATTAAGCAGCACAGGGAGCGCTGAGGTCGGATAATTCACCTCTGGGTCCCCGGAGCTCTGGGCAGCGGGGCGATGGAGCCCTGCCGTGCGCCTTCATCCTCCTCCTCCTCCTCCTTGTTTCCATAGCACATCCACTCCGGAGCCGGCCGGCCCCGCTGCCTGGCTGCTCGGCTTTTCTACCAGCTCCCGATTTCCTCCTCCCGTGCCTGTGGGGTGACTGGGTGCCCCAGGGCTGCCTGAGGGCAGCCGGCCCCCGATATTGGTGTCTGCCGCAAGGCGGCCCTCGGTGCCCACGGCTACGCCAGGAAGTGCCTGGGGATGGAGCGTTTCCTTCCTCTGTGGCCTCGCTCCCCTCTTCCTCCTCATGCCTTTGCTTTGGCTTTCCCCATTGTGCTCAGTCCCCTCTCTCCCGGCCGGCACCAGGGCTCGGGGGGACGCCCCAAATCCTGCAGCCCAGGGAGGACGCGGGATCCCCAGGGGTGTAGAGGGGTCCCAGCGCTTCCCTGCCTGGGGGAGGCTGGGGGGGCACCCGGGGGTGGAGATGTCTGTGCATCCCTTCCTTCTGCGGGGTGCTCGGGGTTAGGAGTCGCTTGGGATAGGGACCTCTGTGTCCCTGGGGGATGCTCGGGGTCAGGATCCACCTGGGGTGGGGACATCCATGTCCCTGGGGGATGCTTAGGGTTGAGACCCTCTCCCCCCCCTCAGAGAGGGGATGTCCGTGTCCCTGGGGGATGCTCGGGGTCAGGACCCCCCAGGATGGGGATGTCTGTGCCCCCC